GTGCTAAAGCAATGGTCTTCCTTCATCATCATCTCCATGAGGATTGGAAAACTGAATATTTAACGAGTGAAAGATCCACTTGAACTATGAAAAAATTTAGAGGAAAGATAAAACCACCAAAAGACGATAATTCTTCCAAAAGCTCGTTATGATTGGATGCACTTAAGGTTACAAGATTTTAAAACCGTAAGTGAGTATAATTCTACGAGTATTTAGAATCGGTTCCCAACTAAAATTATTTGGAGAAAATATTATTGATTCCGATATGTTAGAGAAAACATTCTCTACTTTTCATGCCTCGAATATGCTCTCGCAACGACGAATATCGAGAAAAAGGTTTTAAGAAATACTCGAATTGATTCATGCCTACTTGTGGATCGAACAAAATAACGAGCTACCGATGAAAAATCATGAATCTCGCCCAACTAGATCTACTCCATTCCCCGAAGTGAATGTGACATCTTATAATAATTTTGGACATGGACGTGGTCGTGGCCATAGCCATGGACGTGGACGTGGTCATGGCAATAGTCGTGGTCGAATAATTATCGTTATAATCGTGGTGGTAATAATAATACACGTTATCCCCGGAAGTGGGTAACTTATGAAAAGAAACAAGAAAAGAATAAAGGTGGATCAAGTCAACACTCCGAAAATGAATGTTATAGATGTGGTATGAAGGGACATTGGTCGCGTACACTGTCTATGCCAAAACACCTAGTTAAGCTTTATCAAGCCTCATTGAAAAAGAAAGAAAGTGATATAGAGGTAAATTTTATATATCAAAATAATATTTGTGACAATGTTCCTCTCGAAGATTTCGGTAATTTAACGTATTTAGATGTTGCTGATTTCTTTGAAGATTCCGAAAGAAAAAATTATTAGGTTAATGATAATTGTTTGAAATTTTATTACCTTTTGATAAATAAAGAAGTTTTATGTTTTATTTTTATCTCATCATATTAGTTACCATTTTTATTTATTTGTTTGTTTTTGTGTTTATGAAGAATATATTGATATTACCAAGTTTGCAATTGGTTTAAACATCATGGAGGAGAATTTATGCCTCGTGGATAGTGCAACCACACATACTATACTTAAAAATAAAAGGTATTTCTCTAATTTAACGATGGGCAAGGCTAATGTTAACACTATATCCGATAGTGTTAATTTAATTAATGGCTCCGGAAGAGCAAATATATTACTACCTAGAGGGACAAATTTGATTATAAATGATGCATTATTCTCTCCTATGTCCCGGATAAATTTATTGAGTTTTAAAGATATTCGTTTAAATAGATACCATATTGAGACAATAAATGTTGAGAATATTGAGTACTTATATATTACAAAAATTAAATCGGGTAGAAAATATGTATTAGAGAAATTATCCGCTTTATCTTCTAGCATTTATTATACAAATATTCAAATGATTGAAATAAATGCCATAGTAAACCGAAGTTTACTAATCCTTTTATTTTATGGCATGACCGATTGGGTCATCCTGGATTCATTATGATGCAAAAAATTATTAAAAATTCGCATGGACATCCATTGAAGAACCGGAAGATTCTTCAATCTAATGAGTTTTCATGTTCGCGTGTTCTCAAGGCAAACTTATTATTAAGCCTTCACCAAATAAAATTAGGATTGACTCTCCAAGCATTTTTAGAACCTATACAAGGTGATATATGTGAACCAATTCATCCACCATGTGGACCATTTAGATATTTTATGATCTTAATATATGCATCTACAAGATGGTCACATGTATGCTTATTATCAACTCAAAACCCGGCGTTTTTTAGGTTACTTGCTCAAATAATTTGATTACGAATACAATTTTCAGATATACCATTAAAATAATTCACCTTGATAATGCTAGTGAATTTACATCTCAAGCTTTTAATGATTATTGTATGTCTATTGGAATAAGAGTTAAACAACCTATTACTCATGTTCATACTCAAAATGGTCTAGCAGAATCATTTATCAAAAGCCTCTAATTGATAGCTAGACCATTACTTATGAAAACAAAACTTCCTGTTTATGTTTGGGGACATATAATTTTTTTGACATTAGAGGGAGAAAATAAATAGAATAAGCAATTAGAAATGTTAGAAAAAGAAATTACATGGAATACTTCATCTTTATATCATCTTGATCTCTCGCACAAAACAATATGAACTTGAAGTTCAAAGGATAATTCATTTACAAAGTCTTACAAACCAACTCGTCGGATCATTCTCTCGATCCAAAGAGAGTAACTAAATCACATGTTCCTGCCGAGAATCTCCTATTAAAATTGATGTCCCAATAAAACAACCTATTAATGTTATAATAAATGAATCTAAAGCACGCATGAAGCATGGAAGACCGATCGGTTCTAAAGATAAAAATCCTTGAAAGAAAAAAAGAGAAAATAATCAAGACAAAAATATAAAGGAGGCGAGATAAAACGATCCAATATGTTTTTGATAACAAGCTTCTAGAAGAAGCCTAAATGCTTGAGAAAAATCAAGAAATTTCGCTAAATTATGTTAACACAGGGAGAATATGGGACCGAAAAGAAATATTCATTGATAACATCTTTGCATATAATGTGACAATTTATATTTTGAATAAGGATCCCGAGCCTAAATTCATTGAAGAATGTCGACATAGAGATGATTGGCCTAAGTGGAAAGATGCAATTCAAGAAGAATTAAAATCTCTTACAAAACGAGCAAGCTTTTAGACCCATAGTTAAAACACTCGAAGATGTTAAGCCAATAGGATACAAATGGGTATTTATGCGAAAACGAAATGAAAAAGATGAAATTGTGAGATATAAAGCAAGACTTGTAGCGCAAGGGTTTTCACAAAGACCTAGTGTTGACTATGAAGAGACATATTCTACCGTACTGGATGCAATTACATTTTGTTATCTTATTAGCTTGACAAGCATGTGAAAAACTTCATATGCATTTAATTGATGTAATCACGACCTATTTATATGGGTCACTTGATAATGATATCTATATGAAAGTCCCGAAGGACTTAAAATGCTCGAAGCATATAAAATACATTCTCGAGAGATGTATTTGATTAAATTACAAAGGTCTCTATATGGATTGAAACAATCTGGACGCATGTGGTATAATCGTCTTAGTGATTATTTATTAAAAGAAGGTTATAAAAATAACCCAATTTGTCCATGTGTCTTTATAAAGAAATTCAAAAAGGGGTTTATGATAATTGTCGTATATGTTGACGATTTAAATATAATTGGAACTCCTTATGAGATTTTAAGTGCCATAAATTATTTAAAATGAGAATTTGATATGAAAGATCTTGAAAAAATAAAACTTTTATCTCGGCCTGCAGTTTGAACACTTAAAAGATGAAATTTTTATTCATCAGTCAACATATATAGAAAAAGTACTACAAAGATTCTACATGGATAAGGCTTATCCATTGACTAGCCCAATGGTAGTTCGTTCACTTGATGTTCAAAAGGACGCTTTTTCGACCTCGAGAATATAATGAAGAACTTTTTGGTCCCGAAGTATCATACCTTAGTACAATTGATGCATTAATGTATCTTGCTAATAATACTCGACTCGATATAGCATTTTCCGTAAATTTATTAACAAGATATAGTTCGCTTCAACACGGAGACATTGGAATGGAATTAAACATATATTACGTTATCTCTAAGGAACAATTGATATGGGCTTATATTACTCTAACAAATCAAAGATTGGATTAATTGGTTATGTAGATATAGGTTATTTATTTGATCCACACAAAGCTCGATCTCAAACTCGGTTATGTATTTACATATGGAGATACAACTATATCATGGCGTTCTATGAAGTAAATTATAGCTGCCACATCTTCAAATTATGCGTAAATACTAGCAATTTATAAGGCAAGTCGAGAATGTATTTGGTTAAAAATCAATGACCCATCATATTCAAGAGACATGCGGTTTATCTACTAGCAAGAAAGTTCTAACGAGTCTTGTATAAAGACAATACCGCTCGCATAGCTCAATTAAATAAAGGATACATCAAAGGTGACAGAATGACACATATATCACCAAAATTATTTTTCACATATGATCTTCAACGAAATGGTGATATTAATGTTCAACAAATTCGATCAAGTGATAATCCAGCAGATTTGTTCACTAAGGCATTACCTATCACAACTTTTAAGAAGATGATTCACAAGATTGGAATGCATTGTCTTAGAGATCTTAAATAATGTCTTCAACATAAGAGACCAAAATGAGTATTAATGTGTGTAAGGAATAATGTACTCTTTTTTCTTCACTAGGATTTTTTCCCACTAAGTTTTTTTCCTAGTAGGGTTTTAACGAGGCATATTCCTCGTACAATGGACATTCAGGTGGAGGGTTATAAAATAATGAATGTCCATATGAATGTCCGTCTATTTTTCATATCCCTACTACTCATGATCCCTAATGTGATTCAATTCACAATTCAATATGAGAAATTGAAAGAGTGATGCAATTGATGTACTTTTATTTATTCATAATCCTTTTCAATTTTTATCTCAATTTTGAGACCTATAAATATGTTTGAATGTTCATTTACTCGATATACAAACTTTTAAAGAGATTAAAAGAATAACTTAAAGTTTTTCTCACTTATATTCACTTTATAATAAATTTTTTTTTTTTTTTTTTGTGATGCTTTCTTTAAATTCTTATGTAACTTTTATTTTTCGCGACAAAAAGTTGGTTAACCGTCGGGTTTTTGTAGCGAGTGATGTCAGAAAGCAATAAAAGCGCGTTATGCTATTGGCAGGCAACATCAATAATGCTTCCATGATTTCCAGTTTGCAATTTCTTCCCCTCTCTCTCTCTCTCGCTGACTGAATTTCAATCTTCTTTGGCAATGAAAATGTGATCTCTCTTATTAATTATTTACCATAGGATAGCTAGCCTTTCCAACTGCCAATTCTCAAAACTCAAAAAGAAACGAAGAAAGATGGTTCCCCCATCTCAGAAGAAAAGCCTTCTCTCTCTTTTATCCATCAACTTAAAGAAACTCACAATCACACCTCCAAATTCCAACTCCAACACTGACTTCGACTTCTCTGATGTATTTGGAATTGGCCCATCATCAGCTTCAACCTCAAACCATTCACACTCGCCTTCCACCTCAGCTTCTTCTTTGCGGGACCCACTTGTCATCCACAACAGGTCCCACTCTTTTGTGGGTCCCTCCCCTCGCTACGCACCCTCTTCTTCTCCCCTTCCCTTCCACCAAATCCAAGAAGACGATGATGAGGATATAGAGTTACAAGTAGTGGAAAATCAAAATTATGACAAGAAAAGGGGTAACACCGATGACGATGATGATGATAAGGGTCAAGTGGGCAGTATTGAAAATAATAATAAAAATAGCAGTAAAATTGGGCCTGCTGATTTTGAGATTTTGAGATTGGTAGGAAAGGGAGCATTTGGTAAGGTGTTCCAGGTGAGAAAGAAGACTAGTAGTAATGGTGAAGAAGAAGAAAAGGAAGGTAGTGGAGATGGGATTTATGCCATGAAAGTAATGAGGAAGGATCCAATTATTAAAAAGAATCATGTTGATTACATGAAGGCCGAGAGGGATATCCTTACTAAAGTGATGCATCCCTTTATTGTTCAACTTCGCTACTCTTTTCAGGTCCTGTTTAATTTTCTTCTTCTTCTTCTTTTTCCCCCCATAAAGATTGTAAATTTGTATGCTGCAGTTTGCATTTATTAATTCTTGTGAGTACTAGAGGTTGGTTTGGTCTAACAGAGCAAAGTGGTTGCATTTTTTAGAATTAGAATGGAAGCTTGTTCCAGGTTGAATTCATGGAAAAAATTTGGCTCAATTAATATTAAAGAAGCTTTAGTAAAAAGAAAAAAACAGCAATACTTTTAAGTCATGGAATGAGGACTAGCAAAGATGGTGATGTTATGTAGAGCTGCTATGTGCATCATAATTTGGATAATAATAGCTGCTTTTTCTCTCTAAATGAATAATGTTTGTTTCTTTTTTCCTTTTCTTTTTGGACGGAAGGTGAAGAATGCATTAGAGATATCAATAATGCATTGAGAATTTAGTTTCATGCTGGTATAGTACATTTGTATTCCATTTCTTTATTTTTCAGCTTTATTATCCATTTGAATGTTAAAAATATGTACAAAGTCACAAATGCTTGCTATGTCGATAGACTAATGCAGTAGGTAGTACATTTTCTGGCATTATTTTGTGCAACATTGGTCCATTGCTATACAATGACAGTTTCAGTTGGTCCCAATGTTGTTCAGATTACAGGGGTAACAAATGGTGAAATTAGAAGTCCATGTCACCCTAGTCCTATTCCATTGAAAATGTATTCGTTGTCCATTTGTAATTGCATTGCTCAGTTTCACATTAGTAGGTCAATGTTACAAATTTTGATTATTCTCACAAGAATCTAAATGGTACTTTAGTTATTGTCTTTTCATTGAACATGATTGAAAATTTAAATCTTCGTATGAGGGCACTGTAATCTCATTTTTTTTCTTTTTTTCTGTTCAATCTGGAATGGTGTATTGTCATTGGGAAGGATTAAAGTATACTCTAGAATGCCATTAAACTCTTTGCAATGGACAGGTCAGCATGAATCATAAATACTCTTGTATGTACTTATTCATCTTTCCTCCATGGCTTTTCAGACCAAGTCTAAGCTGTATTTAATCTTGGATTTTATAAATGGAGGTCACCTGTTCTTTCATCTTTATCGGCAAGGGATGTTCAGGTATCTTATATTTGAAATCTTAAATTTCTTGTAATGGCACATAGTTGCCTGTTTTGATTTTTTGGTTATTGGTATGTCTTGAGTAGTGAGGATCAGGCAAAGGTCTATACTGCTGAGATAGTATCTGCTGTTTCCCATCTTCACACCTGTGGGATTGCGCATCGGGATCTTAAACCTGAAAATATTCTCTTGGATGCTGATGGGCATGTAATGGCCCTGCCCATGCTCTCTTATTCTTTGGAAAGATTTGCAGAACTCTTGAAATTGCAGTTTCTTTTTCAAAAGATATTGAAATTTAGCAAGTTGAGTTCATGAAACTGATACTTGTTGCGCAGGTTATCCTGACTGATTTTGGACTGGCAAAGGAATTTGATGGATCGAGTAGATCCAATTCAATGTGTGGGACCACTGAATACATGGCTCCGGAAATTTTACTGTCTAAAGGACACAACAAAGATGCAGATTGGTGGAGCATTGGAATACTTTTGTATGAAATGTTAACTGGGCAGGTGATATGTTGGATTACTAAGGATTCTTGTTTTTTTTTTCAAAAAAAATGATAAAAGTTGCTATGGCAGTCTAGTTATAAAGGCATTGTGCCCCCACCACACACACACACACACACACACACACACACACACACACAGAGTCGTCAAGAGAAATATCACTGTAGGCACTGATTTCTAGCTGTTTGTTTTTGGAAAATGATCTCTAAAATTTCTTCTCTCAGCCACCATTTACGCACTCAAATAGAAAGAAGCTTCAGGAGAGAATTATCAAAGAGAAAGTCAAACTTCCACCATATCTTAGCAGTGAAGCTCACTCTTTGCTGAAAGGAGTAAGTATACACTTAAGTGAGTTTGTCCCCTCTTCTATTTTTTATTTGAATTTCCTTTTTTCAAAACAAGAGCTTAAAACAACAGAATTTTCATCTTTTTTGTAGTTGCTGCAGAAAGAACCATCAAGAAGGTTAGGCAGTGGTCCTGGTGGAGGGGATGAGGTCAAAGGCCATAAATGGTTTCAGTCAATCAACTGGAAAAAATTAGAGGCGAGAGAACTGCAGCCAAAGTACAAACCAGATGTGAGTGGCAAAGACTGTACAGCCAACTTCGACCAATGTTGGACAACAATGCCCCCTAATGATTCACCAGCTCCCACACCAACAGCTGGTGAACATTTTCAAGGGTATACTTATGTTGCGCCTAACCCTTGGCTTTCATCCAGATGAATTAAATGATTATGAAGCAAGCCAGCCAACCTAATTGAATCTTTGTAAGTTTACCTTTCTTTTGATGAATTTCTTCTTTTTACCAGAAAAATGAAGCACCATCTACATATGCATTCATATCTAATGCATAATTTGCATTGTTTCTGGAATAAATATGTAAACTACTTTGTCAAAAAAGATGCGAGATCTAATTACTATTAACATAGGACAGGATCCGTTTTAGAAATACTCCACAAACAAGAATGAGTGTACTCCATCCCAATTAGCTAAGTTAGCTGCTAGAAGAAAGTGTATATTATTACCAACCTATGAGAAAGAAGAAGCAATGTGATGAGTTTTCCCATTTTTTATTCATTTTTCCCTTCAGATTTTGCTATTTGGTGAAACAGGACAAAATTGGGTTTGTTGCTATGTTTGCATACTGGTCCTTATGTTAGTTGCAAACTGATGACATTGCAAGAATGTCAAAGTAATTAAGTTTTTAATCAAAACTCAAAAGCATGCTAGTCCAAAGCACTGTGGTACCATTTGGATGGCTTGGAAGAGAGAGAGAGAAGATACTGTTTATGAATTCCTCACGAAGGTGATGTAAAGTACTGGTGAATAGTAAAAGAAACTTTCTTAAAGAACACAGAGGAAAGTAGCATAGAAGAATCTTGTTTTTCACTGGAAGACTAGCAACATATCAAGTACTACTTAGAAACTTCATTAGACACCTCCCCAAAACGTGCTTTAGCGTTAGTGGCATATCTAGAACCTTGTATCAGCTCTTTTATTTTATGTAAGAATTTGGACAGATTGGCATAAATTTATCATCAAACTTACAATTTTTCCTGTGTGTATAGCATATAAAATATAAATTTATGATCAAGATAATCCATATAGATAGATCAATAGTTGCAGGCCATATGGAGGACAATATTAGAAAAACAATTACTGGATGTGCACCACAGTTCATGTGTAGATAACTAGGGAGGACATATTCTTCTCAGTTTCTCTCCCATTAACATCAGCCTTTAAAAAAAGATTTCTATCAGTGATCTGATAGAATGAGAAAGGAATATCTTTTTTCCAAAGGAATCTAGTATTTATAGGGCTATAATTAAGGGTACTAGCCACAAATTGAGAGGAACCCAAATAATAATTAGATTATTTATCCCTCATTGTTTTAAAAGCAAGTTTCACAAGCATATTTATTGATCCACTTAGTTAATCCAGATATCATCTTATTTGTCCAACGAGAGGGGCTATAGTAGAAAATCCATAGAGTAGCCATGAGTAGCAAACATAGAAGCAACAACTCCCTCTGTGAGAAGTCAATGAAGATGGTGGTAAACATCATAAAACTGTCTTCCTTTTCTATTGCTAAGATGAGTCTGGGAACACCTAGTCCTCCAGTTGTCACCAAAAGCCTTGTCCCTGGGACAGGCTCAGTTATGGTTGTTAATGAACCATTGCTGTCTCAAATTCCAGGAAGTCAAAGGTCACAGGAGCCACAGGGAAGCTCAAAGCCAATATCATTTGTGATGCAGCCGGATGAAGGGAATGGTTCTTCGCATGTGATCCACAAGGAGAATAGTGTTATAGATGGGAGGGCTTCTGATTATATCAGAAAGGTACATGAGAAAAACCGCAATGATGCTCGTGAGATGTCAAAACTCTCTCCTTACATACTACCTCCTCCACCACGAGCAGTGAAGTAGCTAACTTAACCTGTGTGTTTTTCAGTATCCTCTTGGTATCCATTCAATGTTTGGCTAGGATAAACTGCTAAATAAGATTATAGAACTAAGTACTGGATCTTTCATATCCTTAACTTTCCCTGCTTCTGTTAGTGATTAGTGTATTCTGAAGTACTGATTCTCTTCTGTTTGTTCTATACTCACCTTCTTCCTCACGGGAAAGGGGTCATGGTCCTGAACCGGAGCTTATCTCTTAATATGGCATAAAGCTTTTTGTGCTGGTGTACGGTGTAGCATGCATATCTATTTATGGCTCTTCCAGATTTGTGTGACATCATACTCTAAAGAACATCGGTGCCTGTAAAATATGCTTTTATATTATTGCTGACTAATCTTTACGAATCATTAGATCTTTTACCTATATGCTATCTGGTTAGTTTATAATCATGCCATCAGTCTTTATGTATATATATGAGAATCATGCCATTTGTCATGAAAGAAAATGAAGCAGCATTTGCCAGTTATTTCAATAAAAGTTGAAAATGACTTTGATTGTAGTGTGAGACCAAGCAGGCACGAGTTCTGAGAGTAGAGAACTCAGTCATCACTTGATCAGGTGATGGATTTTGCTGAAGAATAACGTAATAATTTTAATATATTTGATTTTCCATTTATTTATTTGAAGATAAGCTTGCTGGAGTTGCTGTTAATTTGATAACCACATGGGCAGTTATTCTGCTGCGAAACTGGAAACCACATAAAGAAGAATAACTAACATCATGCATGTTATGTCATAATTGATGACAAATTCCGCAAGATGCCTTTACTATATATTTTTGGTTTAATTTAGAAACCGCACAATCAATCTGGATATCAATTATTAATGCAGAAGAGCTGATAAGATGTAAGCTAAAGTTATAGGAAATCAATGGGGACAATTGGAACTTTTGATGAATGTGGACAGTTAGCATGGGAAAGAATATCAGAAAGGGAGGGAGAAATGAGAATCACTCCCGAGTTTTATCAAGTAGTGGTAATTGATTTGTTGATCACGCGATTAATAATAAAAGCAGCAAAACATGGAATCCATTGCTTCACTTTTTGAGCTATATTTTCAAAAGGAGCTTTATAAAGGAGTAGAGGGACCAGGGAGTAGTGTAATGGGGGCAGAGCATATATTTTCCGTGTGAACAAAGCCAATCCTCTTAAAAATCTGTCTCACATAGTAACTGTGTTTGTTTCAGAGTTCAACGAGGATATTTTGATTCTCTACCACCATTACATCTTTTTACTGCTATAGATTCTGAGGATAGGCAGCGGGCAGCTAGCGAGTGCAGATTCTTTTCCATAAGATCATTCTACTCGACTGCCGAGCTTTTTTTCTAAATAGGATATTTTGAAATCTTTATTCCTAAAACAAGGTATTTTTAAACTTATTTATCAAAATAAATATTTATTAACATGTAAACATATATGTCATCAAATGATATGATTTTTTTTTTCACACCTTGCTTCAAGCTTTTCACGTAAAATCGAAACTCACCAGCATCCTTCACTTCTATTCTTTTCTTTTTACGGTAAAACCGAAACTCGCCCTATAGTTAATGTTTCTTTACAAGTTTACACATCACCAAAAAAACTTCTTTCATATGTTAGAATTTGTTGGTATTCCCATAATTCTGAGTCAGCCCTCTTCCTTTGCGTCTTAAAAATTATTTTTTGCAAAAAACCAACCTTTTCTTGTATGAAATCTTTTCATTCTTTTATGATAGTATATGAATATGATTCAAGAAAGTTTAGATGATTATCTTACCTACCGTATTTATTAAATCCTCGGTCAATGTTTTCACAAATTCCATGCCAAGTGTTGCAAACTTGCAAGGAATCAAATGACATAATGTATATATATATATTTTTTTCAAAACTAACAGCAAATTACGTACGAAGAAGGACATCAACTTTTCCCTTACGAAATTTATTGCTTTGTGACTTAAAGTAATTATTTGGCCTTGAAGCACTCTATATATTCAAACAAATGAATTTAATTTCTATTTCATGGTCTTAAGCATTTAATACCAGTTGAAATTCAGACACCTATTTATCTATAAAAAAAAATTAATCATTTTTCACCCAGATACCACGTTTCCCTCTTGATATAACAAGCTCTCTTTCCTGAAATTAAAGAGACAAGTGCAAATTTAGCCCTATTTAAGGTACCTTTGGCTAGTAAAATTTGAAGCAGGGAACTGAAATTTTTTTACCATCTACATTTTGTACCATTCCTTTAAGTTTCTGGGTGAAGTTACATGGCGACTCCTGAGATGGCATATGTTGTGTCTATCATTAGCGTTGTAGGGGATGCGTTTTGTGTTCCTTATCCTGTGGAGTTGATCATCAAGAAGAAGTGTCGTGGACTCTTTGAAGAACACTTCGAAGTACTAGATGTCAATGGAAATCTTTTCCTACGAGTCGGTGGCTCCTGCAAGAATTTCCAGAAGAAAAGAACCATGCGAGATCCTGCTGGTTTTCCTATCATCACAATACCCAAAAAGGTACTCTCTGTCTATAATGCAGAAATTTCTTCAGAACAAGCTGACTAATCTGTAACTGATGATGATTAATTCAGAGAAGATCTAAGATCCATAACAGCAACATGCAAGCTTTATCATGTGCAATCTAAGTTGAATGATCTATGTTCGGTGTTTTTCTGATCAGGCACTCACAGACCGTCATCGCTGGACAGTTCATTGAGGAGAAAGTTCAGACAGGACTGCTCCCCTCTTCAGTGTACAACGATCTCATGCACTTCAGATGAAAACAAGGCTTGATATCTTCTTAGCTAACAACATCAACGAAGATATCAGCAACTTTCAGGTTGTTGGCTGTTACTCCTCTAAGTCCTGCAAAGTTTACAGAGGCGATGTCATGGTTGCAGAGGTAGCTTTCAATTAAATCTCGGCAATGGTCTTCTCTAAAAAAGAAATGATGTGCTCCACCAGCATACAGGAAAGCAGTGGGAGAGATCTCCAGGGAGCAATCATTGAAACTCTCAAAACAGCAGTGTCAGAATTGGGGGTAAAGGAGCTACTGCCGTTGCTCCTGTTAAAGTTGCCCTTGCCAAGAGGAGAGGTAAATCATGCTTAACATTGAAGAAGAAGAAAAATTAATTACAATTAAAAAAAATAATAATGTGGATGAAAATATCTTATGCCGCAAAAAAATTATCTAGTTTGTGAATTAAGTTCAAAACTACCCTATTTAAAGAATAAAAATTTAAAAATATGGTAAAAAAAACTCCTCTTCTGCCATTGCATCTGTCTTTTGCCTATAATAAATGAAGGGAAAGAAAACGTTATTGCCTTCTTTAAAGCAGGTTCCTTGAAATAATTAAGGCCCCGTACGGAAGCAAGCTGTAGGTTATCCATCCATTATGTAGAAAGCTGGGCTAGAGGACATCATTACTTCGGATTAGGATCTTCTCATACTATATTAGGAACATGATCATTATGTTTGTTAAATTTAAATCATTGAATTCAAATTAAATGAAAATGATTTATTACATCATAAAAAAATAATAACAATTTAAATAGTCCTTAATATTAATTGTTTCTACCATCCAAGAATATAACCTAAATCTTACAAACACCCTCTTGAATTTTTTCCCCCCTCTAAATTTAACCCTTGAATTACAAGGTGTCCAATTCAACCATTAGACATCACAGGTAAGTCACCTATATGTTTTGCTTTGAAAAACCCAAAAAGTCATAAAACTGTCGATGATTGATTTCTTGATGATAATTTATTATGTTGTTAATGATGTTTTTATCATAATATTAATGGAGGTTACTTTTTATAATTTTTTGATTAATTTATTTTATAATATCCTTAAATATTATAAGGAAATATGTTCAACTCGCATGTCATTTAATAGAAAAATCGATGGAATAAAACAGGAGGGGTATAAAAATGATGTTAGAAGTTGAAATCAAAAAGAAGAAAAAAAAAAAAGTGTCCATCAAAATGATGTATAATTCAAGGGTATTGGTATGGATTAGCTGAAAAATAGAACATCAAAACTTTTCTTATAACTTTTGTTTGCTCTCTTCTAAACTCAAACGAAAGGGATTCAACTCATCTACTAAACTAGAAATAAAAATAAAATAACGAAAAAAGCCATAAATAAATTAAAATGATAAGAAAAGAAAGGTTAAAATATAGAGTTAAAAATAAATCATTGTTTGGATCGGATGCATGCTGCTTTCTACCAGTCACAATGGCACACTGTAGGAAAATCGCCATGCAGATTCATCCAACAAATATTTTTCAAGAAATTTGGGAGCCTAAGCTTACTAGAGCTATGTTGGTGCTCATACCGAAAGTGGATGCTCTTCCGACCCATTGGCTTCTGCAATGTCTCTTACAAAGTACTCACGAAGGTTATTGTGAATAGATTGAAACCAATTCTCCCTTCAATTATTGCTCCAACTCAAGTCAGCTTCGTCCCGGGTTGAAAAATAACCGATAACATTATCATAGCTCAAGAGATTATCCATTCTATGCACAACAAAAAAAAAAAAAAAAGGCAAGAAAGGGTGGATGGCGATAAAGATAGATCTTGAAAAAGCTTATAACAGGCTTAGATGGGATTTTATTCTAGATTCTTTACTTGATGTGGGACTGCCCCATTCGATGTGTTCAGTGATTATGAAACGTCTTTCCTCAGTAGAACTGGCAGTGGCCTTCAATGGTATTACTACAAAGAGCTTCCATCCGTCTAGAGGTATCAGACAAGGAGACCTGTTATCCCTTTACCTGTTTGTGATCTGTATGGAGCGACTAAGTTATCTAATCTAAGGAGCAGTTAGAGACAAGAAGTGGAAACCGGTGCCATTAAAATATGCTTTTATATTATTGCTGACTAATCTTTACAAATCGTTAGATCTTTTATCTATATGCTATCTGGTTAGTTTATAATCATGCCATCAGTCTTTATGTATATATATGAGAATCATGCCGTTTTTCATGAAAGAAAATGAAGCAGCATTTGCCAGTTATTTCAATAAAAGTTGCAAATGACTTCGATTGTAGTGGGAGACCAAGCAGGTACGGGTTTATCAATAGTATGGAGATGAGTTCTGAGAGTAGAGAACTCAGTTATCACTTGATCCGGTGATGGATTTTACTGATGAATAACGTAATAATTTTAATATATTTTATTTTCCATTTATTTATTTGAAGATAAGCTTGCTGGAGTTGCTGTTAATTTGATAGCCACTTTGGCAGTTATTCTGCTGGGAAACTGGAAACCACATAAAGAAGAATAACTAACATCATGCATGTTATGTCATAATTGATGACAAATTCCGCAAGATGCCTTTGCTATATATTTTTGGTTTAATTCAGAAACCGCACAATCAATCTGGATATCAATTATTAATGCAGAAAAGCTGATAAGATGTAAGCTAAAGTTATAGGAAATCAATGGGGACAATTGGAACTTTTGATGGAATGTGGACAGTTGGCACAGGAAAGAATATCAGAGAGAGAGGGAGAAATGAGAATAACTCCCGAGTTTTATCAAGTAGTGGTAATTGATTTGTTGATCACGCGATTAATAATAAAAGCGGCAAACCATGGAATCCATTGCTTCACTTTTTGAGCTATATTTTCAAAAGGAGCTTTATAAAGTGGTAGAGGGATCAGGGAGTAGTGTAATGGGGGCAGAGCATATATTTTCCGTGTGAACAAAGCCAATCCTCCTGAAAATCTGTCCCACATAGTAACTGTGTTTCTTTCAAAGTTCAACAAGGATATTTTGATTCTCTACCACCATTACATCGTCTTTTCACTGCTATAGATTTTGCGGATAGGCAGGAGGCAGCTAGCGAGTGCAGATTCTTTTCCATAAGATCATCTTCAATGTACTTTTTATCTTTAGTTAGTATTTTTAATATAAATAGAGAGCATCATTAATTATATAGATTGAAGATCAATGTCTTCTTCATTGTTACTCTCTACTTTAACTCTTTATTTTGACAAAATCCATAAAACTCAAAGAGACTATTGGTGAAGATGCTTGAGTGGCATAGCAAATAGTAAATTTCATTAATGAAATATAAGATAAAGAGTCATTTGGATTCTCTAGTATTGAGAGCTAAAGAAACTTTGTATCTCACTTTTAAAGATAGAGATTGTGATAAAGAGAACATTGAAGATGAAATTTAAATCAAATCTCTTTATTATAAAAAAAAAAAAAATTTAATATAAAGAAAGCATTACTCTTCTGCCATTGCATCTGTCTTTTGCCTATAATAAATGAAGGGAAAGAAAACATTATTGCCTTCTTTCAAGCAGGTTCCTTGAAATAATGAAGGCCCCGTATGGAAACAAGCCCTAGATCATCCTTCCATTACGTAGAAAGCTGGGCTAGAGGATATCATTACTTCGGATTAGGATCTTCTCATACTATATTAGGAACATGAATTTAAATTAAATGAATATGATTTATTGCATGATAAAAAATAATTACAATTTAACTAGTCCTTAATATTTATTGTTTCTACAATCCAAGAATATAAGCTAAATCTTACAAACACCCTCTTGAATCTCCCCCACCACCACACCCCCCCACCCCCCGGGTCTCTATATTTAACCCTTGAATTACAAGGTGTTTTGATTGATACACTTCCCATTATTTTCCATCCAATTCAACCATTAGACATCACAGGTAAGTCACATGTTCTGCTTTACAGAACCCAAAAAGTCATAAAACTGTCTATGATTGATTTCTTGATGATCATTTATTATATTGTTAATGATGTTTTTATCATAATAATAATGGAGGTTAATTTTTATTTTTATTTTTTTGATTAATTTATTTTATAATATCCTTAAATATTATAACGAAATATGTTCAACTCGCATGTCGTTTAATAGAAAAAATCGATGGAATGAAACAGAAGGGGTGCCAATGAAAAAAAAAAAAAAAAAAAAAAAAAAAAGACCCTACAGTTTAGAGGTTTAAATCAAAAAGAAAGGGGGAGGTGGGGTGGGGGTGGGTTGTGTGGGTAATTTAAGAAGTGTCCATCAAAATGATGTATAATTCAAGGTCATTTATATGGATTAGCTGAAAAATAGAACACCAAAACTTTTCTTATAAATTTTATTTGCTCTCTTCTAAACTCAAACGAAAGGGATTCAACTCATCTACTAAACTAGAAATATAAATAAAATAACGAAAAAAGCCATAAATAAATTAAAATGATAAGAAAAGAAAGTTTAAAATATAGAGTTAAAAATAAATCATTGTTATTGATATGAGGATAATTGTTACAAACTACACCCTTTAAACAGAGCATTAATTCTTCTTTCTTTCTTATTTTTCTTTTTGAAAAAAAAAAAAGAAAAGAAAAAAAGAGGGTACTATTGCAGTGCATCTTTTATTTTCTTCTTAAGAATAAATGTGTTTTGTTACGGAAATAAGGATGTGAAAACTAACTTTTTAGCCCTTTACCTACGTTTAATACAAGTTTAGGGAGAAGGGGAAATTTTCATGGAGGTTAACATAAATTTGAGGGAGAGAAATTTTTGGATTTTATGTTCTTCCCTCTTCTTTTTTTTTTTTAATGTAACACTGTTTTAATCTTGAGATAATTACAAAAATGTCCTTATAAAAAATTTCTTTAAAATTATTTTATATCTATAAAATCACAATACAAAATTTTCATGCTAAAAAAATTCAAAATATAACTCTAATTGTACATCCTTTTAACTTTTTTATATGAAAATTTTTATTTTGGATTTTTATAGATTCAA